TAGCCTTAACACAACAGCCTTTGAAAAGGTCGGAGTAAAAAAGGTAATCTCGGCCAAGGGAGCACTGGCTGAACTCCCTTGCCATACCCCTGCCAAAACTGATAAAAGAGCATTTTATCCTCCCCCCCCACCCCCCCCTTACACCCCCACCTCCTTTCTTCTCATGCAAGTGGTCAATGGCATGAATTAAGCCAACACTGCCCTCTTGTGGCCAGCGTGGAGTGTCACATGCAGCAGTTCAAGACAATGGTTTGGATTTAAGACTAGGCAAAACTCTGAAAAGATCCCCGGCGTTTAGCACCAAGTCTGTAGGGGCCACGGGGCCCCCTGAGGTCCTCCAGGGTTCTTTTTTAGCACTTATATTGTGAAACAGGCCTCTCGTGCCAAGACAGCTCTGCAAAGCCATGCTGTGGGCTTTCGGCTGGCCAGCAAACGCCCTGCTGGTTTTGGGGGGCTTAGCGTGTCGAGGAAGCCCAGGACGTGGGTTAATTTGGCGGTCAGGTGAAGCTTGCACAGAGGCAGCTACTGTGACCCATCGTCCCCTCAGTCCTTGCACACGGAGGCTGGCGAGCGGGGAACCCAGGTCTCCTGCAAAGCGCTATCAACAGCCAATCGCTCTGTTCCAGCTGAGAGTTGAGACCCGCCAGTCCCGTTTATTTTACAATCGGTCGATCTGTTCCCACTCCTTCCTGCCCAGCTCCCGAAGCAGGAATTAAAACCAGCTAAGATTAAAACCACGGACCCGCCCCCCACTCCCCCAGCTTTGCAAAAATGACAGGGTGGGGGAACTTTGGGGAAAAGCATGCAAAGAAACAGGTCTGGGGCTGCACGAATGGGAGGACATTTGCAGCCCTGCTCCCTGAAAGGTGTCCCATTATAGCAGCCCTCGCTGCATCTGGGCAGACTCCGAGCAGGGAGTCCAAGGCCCATCGTCCACAGAGCCTCTTCCCACTCTCTGCCCTGGGGGGATCCCCCTGGCCTGGACTGGCCTACCCGTGAAGGATCCCCCGCGTTCAGTCCCGGCAACCGGACAAGTTGTCAAGAGCAGCCGGCCTTCTGCCCGCGTCGGAGTAATCCCCGCTTCTCCGCCTGGAGGGTCTGAGACCGGAGCGTCCTCAGATGCGGACGGTGTTGATCCGCAGCGGCTGCACGTTCTTCCCGTTGGCGTGGCTCTGCCCGGGACTGAAGTAGGAGCACAGCTTCCCGGGGAACCTCTCCCGGAAGGTGTACAGCCAGGACATGTCGTCGGCGTTGTAGAAGATGAGCAAGCCTTTGGCGTAGTCCAGGAAGACGCCCACCTTCTCCAGCTTGCTCTTGACGTTCAGCCGCGTCCAGGGGTCCGTGCAGGCGCTGTACTGGTTGCCGTCGTGCATGACGATGCAGTAGAAGCCGCGGCTGGGCTGGATCTGGATGCTGCCCTTGCGGGTGACGGCCTCGTGGGCCAGGCCGATCATCCACTGGGTCTTCTCCGAGACCACCACCTCCCAGTAGTGGACGCCGCCGCTGAAGGCCTCCGAGCCCAGCACCGACACCTCCACGTCGAAGCGCTTGGGCGAGTCCTGTAGCGGCTGCGGGTGCAAGTTGCCATAGGACACAATGGTGCAGTCGTCGGACAGGATCAGGCGCTGGTGGGCAGTGGCGGGGTCCAGCGTCAGCGTGGCAGGCACTGCGGAGGGAAGGGGAGACGCCGGAGTGAGGCCGCCCGGCTGCAGGAGGGCCAACGCCTCTCCGGGGAATGCCACTGCGGCTCAAAGCTCCAGAGGGGCCACCACGGAGAAGGCCGTGCCAAGCAAGGCGGCAAAGCCACTTTTCTAAGGGCCGCCTTCTGCTCAGACGCAGAGGGAGGCCGAGCCACCCCCGCCCCATTGCTGACTTTTACGTGCTGCGGGATCAGAGGGGTTCAGGGCGTTCAGAACCAGGAAAACCCACGCGGGGGCTTCACGTCCCCAAAGGGGCGACCCCAGAAGTGCCCGTCTCAAAGCAGGAACAGGAAAGAGGTGCCCATTCCAGAGCACAATGAAGTCTAGGGGTGGGCAACCTGCTGCTTTTTGTGAACTTCGGCGCCCATCTCCCCGACTGGGGAGTGTGGGGGTCACAGTCCTTCGGGAGGGGCTCAAGTCGCCCTCGGGAGCTTTGGAGGCCGTGGGGCTGGTCTCCCCACCGCTTGCAGGTAACTCACCCGGCTGGATGTCCTGAAAGAGGGATTTCCAGATGGTGTACTGCAGAGGCCCCATGTACTTGGAGGTGGGGAAGTCCTCGTAGGTGAGGTTAGATTCGTGGATCTTCCCCTTCAGCCTTGGGGGAAAGGCTGAGGTTAGCCACCGCCTTCCTCCTCGCCCCGCCCACCTGCCCGCCCAGCACCCGGGCTCTGCCCGTCAGCTCTCCCCACCTCTCCGAGAGAGACGCGATGCCCGCCAGGAAGGAGTGCTTGTCGGTTTCCGCCAGCCGCTCCTGCAGGATCTGGCTGCCCTCCTGCACCTTGCGCAGCTGCTGGCCGTAGCGCTGGATCTTCTGCTCGATGTCGGTCAGCGTGCGGGCCGTGTCGGCCTCCAGCTCCTCCAGCATGGCCTTCTGGCGCTCGCG